CAAAAGTTCTGAGACAAACACAGTGAAGTACAGTGCTACAAACTCCATGATGTTATTCAACTATCCCCAACTCCATTCACATTCATTAACCATTCACAATTTTCAATGAATATTTTTTCATTGTTCCCATGCATTCACGTACAAGTACTCAACATACATTAATATCACTTGTCGGGTCATTCATCACTAAGTACACGGTCGCCAAATTAGCGTACTTTTCGGCTGCCATCCTCACTGAGGATATGGACATTTCGTATAAATTCGTTATTTAGTTCGTTAACTGCATGGTGAGAATTATTTAGCGTTAGTACATGATGTGGAGGCGTTGACTGTACGTACTCTGTGTACTCCTGTGGTGATGCTTGTGTGTACTCTTGTGGTATAGGTGGTGCTACTGCTTATGTGTACTTGTGTGTGTAAATATCGTAAATAATAAAGCAAATGTCGCATATATTACGGTAAATATCGTATATAATAAAGAAAATATCGTATATAATACAGAAAATATCGTATATAATATGGTAAATATCGTATATAATACGGTAAATATCGTATATAAAATAAATATCGTAAATGACAAGTGGAAATTATTGCATAAGGTTAATTAATTAGAGGAGATAGCTTGTTCAATATGGCGGATGATTAACGGCAGTTAATTAGTGAGTGCTTCAGTGTGCTTTTAGTAAACAAAAAAAATCAACAAGGAAGCTACGGTTCATTATTACAATTCACATTAAGCTCTAAACCCGTGAGGGTCACTGAAGCAAAGACTGCTGTAGACTCCAGCCTCCGTACACTAATTTACTTTTCTTGTCAAGGTACTGGAGTATTTTGTAGAGAGGGAGGGGGGAGGGGGAGGGAGGGAGGGGAGGGGAGGGGAGGGGGGATAGGGAGGGGGGGAGGGGGAGGGAGGGGAGGGGGAGGGGGGAGGGGGGGAGGGGAGGAGGGAGGGAGGGATGGAGGGAGGGAGGGGTGAGGGGGGAGGGAGGAGGGATGGAGGGAGGGGGGAGGGGGAGGAAGGGAGAGTTGAGGAGGGAGGAGGGAGAATGTAAGAAGCATGGAAGCGTTAAAGTTAAAGCATGACGAGATTGAAGAGGCAGTGGAAGTACGTGAGAATTTGTAAAGAAGCCAGAGAGTGAGATTTCGAAATTAGAGATGAAAGAGGCCAGTGGAACGTTGGAATTGTAAGAGGCCAGTGGAACGTTGAGAATTGTAAGAGGCCAGTGGAACGTTGAGAATTGTAAGAGGCCAGTGGGAATGTTGGGAATTGTAAGAGGCCAGTGGGAACGTTGAGAATTGTAAGAGGCCAGTGGGAATGTTGGGAATTGTAAGAGGCCAGTGGGAACGTTGGGAATTGTAAGAGGTCAGTGGGAATGTTGGGAATTGTAAGAGGCCAGTGGGAACGTTGGGAATTGTAAGAGGTCAGTGGGAATGTTGGGAATTGTAAGAGGTCAGTGGGAATGTTGGGAATTGTAAGAGGCCAGCGGGAACGTTGGGAATTGTAAGAGGTCAGTGGGAATGTTGGGAATTGTAAGAGGCCAGCGGGAACGCTGGAAATTGTAAGAGGCCAGTGGGAATGTTGGGAACTGTAAGAGGCCAGTGGAAACGTTGGGAATTGTTAGAGGCCAATGAAAACGTTGGGAATTTTAAGAGGCCAGTGGGAACGTTGATAATGGGAAGAGGCCAGTAGGAACGTTAGGAACTGGAAGATATCAGAGAATTTTGGAAATAACAGTAATAGGACAGAAAGGCAGATGCATGTGCAGAAAAGATCAAAACATAGACAATATACATGTTGGATGTTGGAGCGAAGAGGACCATGGGGTGGGTGGGGGGTAAGGAAAGAAAATTGATGCGTAATGCCAGTCCCCACCACCGTACACGCCCCCAAAAAATAAAAACAACGATAAAAGACAAAAACTAGCGAATCTTGAGACTCAATCACCACAATTTTGTGTCGTTTAGCTCACAACACCAAGAGGTCAGCGTATATTTAACTCACAACACCACGATAAGCGTATCCTTAGCTCACACACCACGATATAAGCCTATCCATAGCTAACACAACGATAAGCGTATCCTTACCTCACACCACGATAAGCGTATCCTTAGCTCACATACCACTACATAAGCGTATCCTTAGCTCACACACAACTATATAAGCGTATCCTTAGCTAACATCACGTTAAGCGTATCCTAGCTCACAGATACTACCTACTCACCCACATAAGCGTATCCTTAGCTCACAAACCAGGATATAAGCGTATCCTTAGCTCACACCACTATAAGCGTATCCTTAGCTCACACCACGATAAGCGTATCCTCAGCTCACACCACGATAAGCGTATCCTTAGCTCACACCACGATTAAGCGTATCCTAGCTCACACCACGATAAGCGTATCCTCAGCTCACACCACGATAAGCGTATCCTCAGCTCACACCACGATAAGCGTATCCTTAGCTCACACCACGATAAGCGTATCCTTAGCTCACACCACGATATATAACCTGTTCACTCACAACAAAAGTTTGCCCGTAGCTAACAACAGTAAAACTGTCACTAGCACACACTGCAAGGTTGAGAGGTCTGGCTGCCCACGGCTGGTGACGAAGACCGCTAATATAGTGGAAACAGTCATTTCTACAACGTTTCTCCTAGCACGGGTCTGTATCAAGTACGTTTCGATACTCGAGAAAAACCAATGTTGGGAAAAACGCTGGACAAATAAAGGTCTCCACTCCGAATGTGTGTTTTTCAGCTGGCTACCACCAGCTGGTGGTGACAGTTTGGATGTACGTACCGCCAAGATTCGCTGATTTAACACGTAAAAGGTTAAATGTCGCCGACCTATGAATTCTGGAAAACGCCAAGATTCATCCTCCAATTTTGTAAATGTAAGTCAATAAATGTAAAATAGTCCCCCCTACCGCTACACATTGCAAAAAATGTGAAACGATAAAATGGCTTCTCTCTCTCTTGTAATTTATATATATATATATATATATATATATATATATATATATATATATATATATATATATATATATATATATATATATGACCGACTCAAAAAATCTTGAAAAAAGAACCCTACAACCATCATTTTTTTTCCTGTCTGCCCAGAGTGTCAGTTGTAGACCCCAGACACAGTGTCAGTTTCAAGAGTCCTCCTGACACTGTCAGTCCCGTCCTTGGGGGGGGGAGGTCATGACCTCCGCGTCTAAGTCCCGGTCCATACTTCCTGGCTGAAGGCCTGATCAATCAGGCTATGGGGTACCAGCTGCATGTATTCCGACTTAAACTGCTGCTGGCACCAACAACCTGACTGATCAGCTCTTCAACAGATATTCGTCAATTTGGAAATTAGTTTATCTTCTTGAAAGATTTCCTTAAGTAGGAAGTAGGAAACTGGACAGTCCAAGAGTCAGAATCGCCTCTCACCCGGGACACACTATCACGTGTTGCTGCTGCTGCTGCTACTGCTGCTGTTGCTGCTGCTACTGCTGCTGTTGCTGCTGCTACTGCTGCTGCTACTGCTGCTGTTGCTGCTGCTACTGCTGCTGTTGCTGTAACTGCAGAGTGTATAATACGCGATTTTCTTCAATGCGTTGTGACTGAGGTTTGCCTTAGCCTGTCAGATATCTGGATAGAATGTCAAAGATCTATGATAGTCTGTCAGAGATCTGTGGTAGTCTGTCTGGGGTCTTTGATAGCCTGTCAGGAGTCTATGATAGCCTATCAGGGGTCTATGATAGCCTGTCAGGAGTCTATGATAGCCTGTCAGGGGTCTATGATAGCCTGTCAGGAGTCTATGATAGCCTGTCAGGGGTCTATGATAGCCTGTCAGGAGTCTATGATAGCCTGTCAGGGGTCTATGATAGCCTGTCAGGAGTCTATGATAGCCTGTCAGGGGTCTATGATAGCCTGTCAGGGGTCTATGATAGCCTGTCAGGAGTCTATGATAGCCTGTCAGGAGTCTATGATAGCCTGTCAGGGGTCTATGATAGCCTGTCAGGAGTCTATGATAGCCTGTCAGGGGTCTATGATAGCCTGTCAGGAGTCTATGATAGCCTGTCAGGGGTCTATGATAGCCTGTCAGGAGTCTATGATAGCCTGTCAGGGGTCTATGATAGCCTGTCAGGAGTCTGTGATAGCCTGTCAGGAGTCTATGCCCTCCTGTTAGAGATCTGCGATAGCTGTCAGGGAAACGCGATAACTTGCTAAAAATATTTAATAACCTGCTCGAGATCTATGATAACTTCCCAAAGTGTAATAACCTCCCAGAGAGTGTAATAAGCTACCAACGAACCAATAACCCGCCACAGATCTGTAAGAACCATCCACAGAACTGTGATAACCTGTTGTAGATCTATGATAACCTATCACAGATTTGTAGCATACTACTACAGATCTATAATATCCTGCCACAGATCTGTAATAACCCGCCACAGAATAACTTTAACGCGTTGTATATCTGATATCCTTCTATAGATCTGTGATATCTTGCCGGGTTACACAGGAGGAGATTCTGTTTATGAACGCCCTTCCCTCTCGCTCACCCCCACGCCCTGACACGGACGGAGCGCCCCCACTCTCAAGTTTAGAAGTTGTGTGTAAAACGCGTCCGCCACGCTGGAGGCATCCTCCTTGCATCTACTCGTCCCTAAGTGAACCTCCAGCTTCCCTAACGTAACTAAATCGACAACAGCAACTCCAGTACGATATACAGATCAGGAAAGGTTGAGGTTGAAAAAACTGATTACAATGAAAGTATAAATTCTGCAATAACCTCAAGGCAGGTGTAGAAACACTGCAAAATGTGTATACTGAACTTACCATTGCGTGTGTGGGTTAAAGATGACTGAGTGTGAGCAGGTGGGGAGACACATGTCCCCGGACACATGTGAGCACACAAGATAGGAGAGAGAGCAACACCCAGGACACACAACACCAACAACAGCCAGGGGAGGCAGGGATAGACCTTGTGGTAGTACTCACCTTCCTGGATGGGCGGCCGAGGCTCGTACGGGACATCTGCAACAGTCAAGAGGAGGAAAAGTGTTAGAGGTGCAACACAAGTCAATCCTCCATCACACTGATCCTAAGCAACACAATCTTTTACTCATGCAAGGTGATCAACATACCTACAAAATAAGTTCCATTAATACATGTAATTATTTATCTACAAAGATTACCTAGGTTTTCACGTATTATCTTATAATAATGCGTAATGTACATATTTATTTACTCTATTACCTATGTGTATTAATAAGCTGAAGCCAGTGCTTCTATTTATGTATAGCTGTATGTTTTTTTTTTTTTTTTTGAAGATTTTATTTGCAAAACTACTCTTGTCTTCTAGAATTATTGGAACCACGGAGAGTGGCATCTCTCTCACGCGGTGGCTGGAGCACATCACAATACCAAAATCACCCCTGCAACCACACATAGGCGAGTACGTACACGTGCACACACAAACACACACCCAAAACACACAATACGCACACATACACACACACACACATATACATATCAATTTGGCAAGTACACCTACTACTCCAATCCATAACATACCACAGGTGTAGGGAGTAGGAACACTCGTACACAGCTAAGGGTAAGATACGGTGAAGCAAAAGGGTACACCAACCAGAAGCATGTATCGTAGGGTTAATGACACGAATGCGTGCTATTTAGGGGCTATCAAAGAGGAATCTGCTCTTGAGGTCTGGGTAAAGATGCTTGAGGAGGCAGAGAGAAGGATAACTGAGGAAGAAGAGAGAAGGACTGAGCAGAGATAAGGATAACTGAGAAAAAAGAGAAAGATTGAGGAGAAGTTCAATAAGTTTAAGGAAGAAGCAGAGGAAAAAGAGAGAAATATCTGACTGAGATGTTTCAAGCAAAGAAGGACAATGAAATAAAGAAAATGAATTTGTATATGAATTAAAGAAGCTTAGAGAGAAAGTAGTAAAGCTAACAAACGTAGAATGAAAAAGTACAATACCGTGACTGGAACAATACACAAATAACCCGCACACAAGAGAGAAAAGCTTACGACGACGTTTCGGTCCGACTTGGACCATTTAGAAAGTCATACTTTATAAATGGTCCGAGTCGGACCGAAACGTCGTCGTAAACAAATGTATTAGAGAGAGGTAAGCTAGAGGTAGGAAAGGACATGAAACAACACAGGAGACCAACCAACACAAGGTTAAAAGGAAGAGTGCTTCAGTGGGTCAAGGACTACCTTAATAACACAAGGTAGTGGTTATGAGCTCGATCTGATGATCTTGAGAACACAGCGATCGACCTCACTGTTATGCTACTAACCTTCCTGGTTAATGAAGGTTGAAAAATTAATATAAACCTCCACTGTAGGTGAAGTAATAATAATAATAATAATAATAATAATAATAATAATAATAATAATAAATAATAATAATAGTAAGCGATGAGACTTCTGAATGTGAGAGAGTAACGAGTAGCGTTCAGCAAGGATCAGTGTTAGGACCACTAATGTTCCTAATATATGTGAACGACCAGAGGGGATCGAGTCCTATGTATCAATGTCTGCTGACGATGTAAAAATAATGAAAATAAGAACAGGAGAGGACAGATAATAAATTCCAGTGACATCTCGACAGGCTGGAGATGTGGTCAAACAAGTAGCTTCTCAAGTTCAACCCAAACAAATGCAAGATCGTGCGCTTCGGAGAAGTAGGGCAAACCGGACACAAGTGTACAACTTGGGTGAAGACAAGTTGCAAATATCAGAATTGCACATAAACCGTATAACGATAGTATCAAATGAAAGATTATATACCTCAGAATAACAGGAGATTGAAAAAAGAATCCTTCAGAATCTTAAAGGTGACACATGTCAGGCCAATTACTGAGTATGCGGCCCCAGTACGAAGCCCACACCTGGTCAAGCAAGTGAAGAAACTGGTAAATGTTGAAAAGTTTGCAACCAAGCTAATACCAGAACAGAGAGGAATGCATTATGAGGTTGAAAGAATGTGATGGAGAAGGGTGAATATGATAAGTACGTCCTAAATCTTAAGAGGAACTGAAAGTCTGATAGGGACAGACCGAATTAATATGACCAGGATCAAGGAAACACAGGTGGAAGCTGACGATGCAGGTGAGCAAGACGTAAAGAAGTATTTCTTAAGTAGTGTGGCTGAAAAGTGGAATGACTTGGATGAAGTAATGGTGGAGGCAAACTCAATACACAGCTTCAAGAGTGGATATCTTAAGGCCCAAGAGACAAGGAGTCAGTGATGCCGTTAAGTATCGACTACAACACAAATAAATGTGCACATGCAGACAGAGCAGGTCAACCTATGCGGCACATTGTTACAATGTTCTCTGTCTTCCATTAACTTCTTCCAAGGCTCTCATAACTTCAGAACGGCTGGTGCTATCGGTTTCAAATTTTCAAGCCTGGTCAGCCAGGTGAAGGTTGATGGAACAACTGCCACGTGCACGTGCCTCTGCTTAATATTATACACACCATCCCCGAAACTGGCAGTTTCCACAACTTTACAAACTTTCAACATTAGAAAGTTTTCACAACGTTAGAAAGTTTCTCACAATGGTAGAAAGTTTTCCTAACCTTAGAAAGTTTCCACAATCTTAGAAAGTTTCCACACCCTTAGAAACTTTCCACAACCTTAGAGAGCTTCCACAACCTTAGAGAGCTTCCACAACCTTAGAAAGATTTCACAACTTTCCAGAAGTTTAGAAAGTTTCTACAATAGAAAGACATATGATATTGTGGATAGGGGGGCAATGTAGCAGATGTATAAAATAGGTGGTAGGTTACTGAGAGCAGTTAAGAGTTTTTACGAGGATAGTGAGGCTCAGGTTAGAGTATTGTGAGAGGGAGATTATTTCCCAGTAAAAGTAGGCCATAGACAGGGATGCGTTTTGACACTATGGGTATTCAATATATTTGTGGATGGGGTTGTTAGAAAAGTTATTGCTCAGTGGTTGGCAAGAGGTGTGGGATTAAGAGATAAAGAATCTACCACAAAGAGGGAGTTGTCACAGTTGGAGTGTGAGCAAAGTAACATTCACGAAGGGATTCAGAGGAAACCGGTTAGCCGGACTTGAATCCTGGAAGTGGGAAGTATAGTGCTGCACTCTGAAGGACGGGTGTGGATATATTGCAGTTTTTTTTTAACTATAGTGTAGGCGCACCTCTGGCAGGACAGTGATGAAGCGAATGATGATAAGTGTTTCTTCTTTCTCGGAGTCGCCCTGTCTTGGTGGGAAACGGCCAATAATAATAATAATAATAATAATAATAATAATAATAATAAAATAATAAAAATTATATATATATATATATATATATATATATATATATATATATATATATATATATATATATATATATATATATATATGTGTGCAAGGAATTCGCAAGAGCAGGCGAAATATACACAAACACTGATCTCTGGCTGAACGAGACTCGATCCTACGAACGTTGGAACAAGGTACGCAGTGCTTTACCAATCTACCCACACTGGACCAATACCTTGGAGTCCAGCTTGCGCTAGACTTTGATCCAAGGCAGCCAGCTTTCAGGGAGAAGGCTTACAGCTTTTCATCTCATCCCCTGCATGCATCAGCCTTACTAGATATATTAACAACGCTAGCTAGAGTCCAAGGTGGGTAGATTGTGGGTAGATTGGTAAAGCACTGCGTACCTTGTTCCAAGGTTCGAAGGTTCGAGTCTCCTTCAGCCTGAGATCAGTGTTTATATATATATATATATATATATATATATATATATATATATATATATATATATATATATATATATATATTAAACCTCTGTGTATATAGCTCTGTATCCATTTAGTAATACACGACCACAAATACAACTTTGTTTTACAATGCATAATTCTTTATATCAGTCAAAATACTTTGTCCACAAATAAATATACAACGGGAAATATAAAATAAAACTAATGCAGATGTGACTGCATGTAAATGTAATCTAATGTATTCGCAAATTTACTGTTAAAGTTGAACATTCGTTCATCACGTACGTTCACGTGAACATTTAAGTACTTTAGTTGGTGCTAGGTACACACAAGTAATGTTGTGGTACGGCAAGTTGGTGCTAGTTACAGCTAGTTGGTGCTATGATAAGGTTTTACCTGGAGTTTACCTGGAGAGAGTTCCGGGGGTCAACGCCCCCGCGGCCCGGTCTGAGACCAGGCCTCCTGGTGGATCAAGCCTGATCAACCAGGCCATGTTGCTGCTGGCTGCACGCAAACCAACGTACGAGCCACACCCCGGCTGACCCGGAACTGACTTTAGGTGCTGTCCAGTCCCAGCGAAGACTGCCGGGGGTTTTTGGGTAATCCCCCTTTATGTGTTGGGAGGAAATTTAAAACAGTCTCGGGCCCCGACACTTATTGTATGGTCTTTTAACTGCAGTGACACCCCTCTTTTTTGGGGGGGGGGGGGTGATGTCTGCCAAGTCTTTTGTTTTGTAGGAGTGTTTTTTCGTGTGAAAGTTCGGTACTATCCCCCTAGGATTTTCCAGGTGTATATAATCGTTTTTTCCCCTCCGCGTTCCAAGGAATACAGTTTGGGAAACCCCAAGCGCCCCAAAATTGGGTGTTTTATCTCCGTTATGCGCGCCGTGAAAGTTTTGTACATTTTCTAGGTCGGCAATTTCACCTGCCTTGAAAGGTGCGTTATTGCGAAATATTCCAGCCTAGATAGAACAATGACCTTAAGAGTGTCATCTGGGTTGGCCCCCAATTTTAAAGGTTCTCATTACCCACCCTGTCATTTTTCTAGCAATGCATTGATACAATGTTAGGGCCCCTTGAAGGTAAATCCTCCAAACTGATCACCCCCAGGTTTTGACTTTGGTTTTTTCGCTCTATTTTGTGGCCAGAATTTTTTTTGTACTCTGATGAAAAATTTAATTTCCTCTGTTTCCATATCGGTAATTTAAAATTTTTTCCATCGTTGAACTTCATATTGTTTTCGAGCCCACTAAAGTTTGG